GAAATTTCTCTTCTTTACATATATCTTATATCCAAGAAATATTCCTCTATTTCAAGATTTATTATGCAAACAGGATTGAGTTCGAGCAAGCACTCACTCGACCATTACGCCTACGGGCTACATTACTTCGAGTTCGAATCATTCACTCGACTACTAAGCCTACATGCTACTTTTATTTTGAGTTCGAGCAAGCACTCACTCGACCATTACGCCTACGGGCTACATTACTTCGAATTCGAATCATTCACTTGACTACTACACCTACGGGCTACATTACTTCGAGCTCGAATCATTCACTCGACTATTAAGCCTACGAGCTACTTTTATTTCGAGTTCGAGCAAGTACTCACTCGACCATTACGCATAGGGGCTACATTACTTCGAGTTCGAATCATTCACTCGACTACTAAGCCTACGAGCTACCTTATTTCAAGTTTGAGTAAGAGCTCACTCAGTTATAAAGGCTACGAAGTCCAAATTTGATCAAGTTGCCTAAATCCTTGTAAAAAATATTCATAAGGCATGAATAAAATCTTCACAAGACAGGAAACAGAACAGAAGCAAGTCGGCAAAAAGGGATATTTTTATATATACAAGATTGTTTACATGATTGATTACAACATAAAAATTAAGGACTAAGCTTCCTAGTTATCCCCAGGAGCGGTCTCATCTCTATCAGGCTCCCCCCCGTTCTCGGACCCGCTCTTACTCCCATCATCATCATCATCATTATCATCATCATCGTCATCGGAAACCAAGGCTTTAGCATCAGTTTTGAGTTCTTTGGCCCTTTTAATCTCTTCAGTGAGGTCGAAACCTCGGGCGTGGATCTCCTCGAGGGTCTCCCTCCGAGATCGGTACTTAGCAAGTTCAGCGACCCAATATGCTCGAGTATCGGTGGTCTCAGCTTCCTCTCTTGCTTAGACCTGGGCAGCTTCATCATCGGCCCGATAGACGGCCACCAGTGCATCCACATCGGCCTTTTCCTTTTCGGCGTCAGATTCGGCTTTGGCAAGTTCAGAGGCTAATCGAGCCTCGAGCTCTTCTATTCTTCTTGCTTGGACCAAGCCTTTCTCCTTCATTTTCTGAAGTTGGTTTTTGGCCGATGACAATTGGGCTCGAGTAGTTTCTTTCTCTGTAGCAAAGCGGTCCATTCCTTCTTTCCACTTCAAAGACTCGGCTTTTATCACATCGACTTCTTCATAGAGTTTTCCGATCATCTCAATTTTTTGTTGCAGCTGTGAGACCGAAAAATTAGCCACAGTTCCGGTATCGAGCCCATAGGCTTTTAAAAGTATTATTACCTGCTCGGACAGATCGATCTGATCTTGGTGAGCCTTGGCCAACTCAGCTCGGAGGTCTTTTATTTCCTCTTCCCTTTGGCCTAAGAGGAGTTTTAGGGAGTTCCTCTCTTTCGTAACACGTTGAAGCTCGGCCTCGTATCAATGCAGCTCGGTTCAGGACCGAGAACATGATTCTCTATGAACTGTCGCGGCCTACAAAGAAAGAAGAAACGAAGTTAGAAAAGAAAAGCAAACTTAAGGATAATGCCATATAATTTAAGGCTTACCTGATTCAAAGCCTGCTGCACTCCGTGAAAAAGATCCGATGTGTCACTTGTACCGGTAACGTCCTTGACACTGATAAACAGGTCAGAAAAGGATCCTCTCCATCATGAGGCCTATCTAATTCGAGGGCCCCCAAAGCTTGGGCCTCCCGAATCACCCCTGCGGAAAAAGCAGGGAAGGTGCGCGAGTCTTCGATTGCTATTGCCCCAAGTGAATCACCTAGGGCATTCTCTTCGGTTCGAAAAGTTCGAGAAGAGCCCCTTCAGACATACCCCCCATACGTTGGCTTCGATGGGAAGCATCTTCGATCTCCAACAACTAGGGGACTTTGCCCGAATCTTTCTCCGATATATCCTCAGTTCGAGGCGGAGCCTTATGAACCACCATCGATCCAGCTGCTTGTGGAACATCGGTGGTCTTCTTCGTTCGGGCGGCCAGCACAGACCCATCGTTCTCTTCTTCTTTTTCTTCTTCTTCTTCTTCTTCATCCTTCAGACGCAGAACTGATTCTACGGTCAAAGGAATGATATTTTTGTTCGGCTTACGAGTCATCCTTTTCTTCGGTTTTTGATTTAGAGGACGGGAACTCTTTTCCTCTTATTATCTTTCACCGACTTTGGGACAGAGGCCGAAGCCTCTTCCTCGACGGATGAGGGCCTCAAAACCGCATCTTTACCCACACCTACATACGGAAAATTTTATTAAAGTGTGTGAAAAACATCTTATTCAAATTACCAAAAGATACGAGAAATGTGCTTACCATGATTTTTGGCCTCCCATCGGCCCTTTGACAAGTCGCGCCATGAGCGCTCGGTGTAGGAGGAGGTCGAAACCAGATCACGTACCCAGTTCTTGAGATCGGGCACTGCGCCGGGCATCCAGGGAACCGCTGTATCACAGAAGGGGAATATTGGTGAGAAAGGAAATGAAAGGATAAAATAGTAGGGGATAACAGCAGAATTACACTTACGCTTCATGTTTCACTCTTCGGGAAAAAGGCATCTTTTCGGTCAGAATCAGGTCCAAAGTCCTTACTCGAACGAATGTGCCCATCCACCCTCGATCTTTATCCTCATCTATACTCGAGAACATAGCCTTGGCAGCTCGACGTTGGAGTTTTATTAACCCTCATCGAAAAAGGTGAGGACGATATAATCGGACAAGATGATCAAGAATGAAAGGCATCCTCTCGATTTTACTCACAAAATATCGGATCAAAATAATAATCCGCCAAAAGGAAGAATGTATCTGGCCTAGGGTACTTAGGTATTTATGACAAAAATCTATGATAACGGGGTCGAGGGGACCTAACGTGAAAGGGTAAGTATACATGCTTAAAAACCCTCTCACATGAGTAGTAATATCCTCTTCGGGAGACGGCACTACCACTTCTTTGCTCTCCCAGTTACAATCTTTTTTTATCCGCTTGATGTGCTCCCGGGTTATCGAACAAATATATCTCGATACGGGCTCACATCGACCAGGAACCGGCGAACCTTTATCGAGTTTGAAATCGAAGGTAAGAACGCACGCCGCCGGAACGCACTCCTCCGGCCGTGGATCCACCGGTGTTTTGTCGGCGGCGAATTGAGAAGAAGAAGTTTTTTCTTTTTTGGGGATGGTTTTTGATGTTTTCACCATTTTGGATTTAAAGAAGGTGACAAAGATTTGGTGGTTTAGAAGAAGAATTTTGCAAAGAAGAATCACAGATTTGCGAATAAACTCAGAGAATACAAAAAAAAACTTGGGAAATTTGAAAGATTGAAGATGTAAAAGTGGTAAATGATAAAAGGAAAGGCTATTTATAGATTAAAGCAATGGCGGTTCAGTATCAGCGGTGGCCGACTACCGTCTGACATGCATTAAATGCCTTGAAAGACTAAATCGACGGGACAGCTATCACGTGCGTCATGGTCGAGCCCAATGTAAACGTCAGCTTATAATCCGATCGAGCCGTTGAAAATCACATCGTTTCTCACCACATCCTTCCCGAGAAACGAGTGGACTATCTGTATACGGTCGAAATATATTTCGGCCTTCGAACGATTGATCGAGGTTAAAACGTAATTGATCGAAGTAAGACTTCGAGATGGATTCTGAAGATGGTATAAACAAGCTTCGAGCCCGAGGGACCGATCAATGTCGAGCTCGATATCATTATCAAGCTCGAATCCAAGTCGAACTATGATGCAAAGTAAAGTTATCGAGCTTATGATTCAGAGACCGACCAACATTGACCCCGAATCAATGCAGGGATCCGAGTCAGAATCGAGAGCTCGAGTCAAGACCGAAAACTCGAGTCAATATCGAGTTTATAGACAAGAGCCGTTGCAATCCCACTAGAGGAGAGAATCCTGGCAGGAATTATGGAAAAACTGATTTATCATGGGTCTCCCACTATGTATTTTTAATTATATCCAAAGTAAGATTTCTTTACTATAAAGGGAATGATTATTATTTCTGTAAGGACCAAGTTTTTGCTTACATTGTAATTCAAGCACCATATTCTCCTATAGTGAAGAGTTATTCTTTCAAGTTTTATAAATTGATTCAACTTGTTTAGTCCTAAAAATCATCTTCTTTACAATCTTGTTTACTTTGCATTCTTTGCAATTCATACTTTATATTTTTATTTATCCTTACGATTTGTATTAAGTTATACTACATATCCTTAAAACTACGTATAAATTCAGCTCCATAAGTTTTTCGGCTAAACAAAAACTAGTTGTCATTATAATGATTTCGAGCGTGTGTGTTCCCATCTAAGAAATAGTGCCTCAGAAGATACACCGAATCCAAGCTGTCTAAAGATATTCGTTCTAAATGCTTTCGAAAAGTTTTTGACATTTTTTTTTTACTTTCAGGAACAAATCATTCTTCATTTACAACAAATGTTTACTAGGAAACTGACTTCGCCAGCTTTGGTTTTGAAAATTATAACTCCTATCACTTTCAATTTAAGTAAATTTATTTGACTGGATATAAAATTTAAAAAAATATAGAAGATTTTTAAATTTATGGGGTAAAATAAGGCATATATATTTTATGTTAATATAAATTATTGCATAAAAATAAATTATTTTTAAATAAAAAATAAATCATTCTTTTTGATACGTAACGAAAAGAAAATAAGTTCAACAACGGAATTACTATCCTTCATTAACTTTTATCTTGTTTGCTATTAAAGAAAAAACAATTGGTAGTTTTCAAAATGGGGACTACGTTTTCAAAAATGTCATGCTACATGTTTGCTAGAAGTAGAATAGAAAATTCGTACTGTCATTAAGGGTCACGAAAAGAAAAAGAAAGAAATTATTCAGATTTAACAAAGATATCTTCAAAGGTGACGATTAAGTAAACAACACGTCAGAACTCATCTAGAAACCAGCCTATAGCGCACAACTCCTACCTCGTAAAAGACACAGGGGGCATTTCCGTCCACCTTCCAAATTCAATCAAATCCTCTTTCCATTTTGCCCCATACGCGTCTCTATGAGGCCATTATTCCATCACCATTAACCGACCTCTCTCCTCCTTAAAACTCCTCTCTTTTCTTCTCTCTTACCCACCCAAACCACAAACAGATCATCTCTCTCTTATATTTTGCTCAGATAATCTGTTCATCATATTTAATTCCCTTTTTTCTTAGATAATTTGTCTGTGAAAATATATGGCTCAGAGAACAGAGAAAGAAGAGACTGAATACAACAAAGTCGTACATGAGAAAACCTTAACACTTTGCGTTAAAAGTTGCGGTGTCATCGGCAATCCAGCCACCAATAATATGTGCCAAAATTGCTCTAACGCTAGCTCCTCCAAGGTCGCATATCCTCATAAATTCGCCAACATATTAACCAGATCTACCTCGTCCGATCTAAAAAAATATGTCGATCGAGCGGTGAAAGATGATGATAAGGCAAAGGAGAGCGTTTCACCGGCGAAGAGGGAGGTGAACCGTTGCTCTGGTTGTCGGAGGAAGCTAGGATTAACCGGCTTCCGTTGCCGGTGCGGTGAATTATTCTGCGGCGAACACCGTTACTCTGACCGTCATGATTGCAGCTATGATTACAGAACCGCCGGCCGAGAGGCGATCGCGAGGCAGAATCCGCTCGTCAAAGCCGCGAAGATCGTTAAACTTTGAACGGCGAAAGAGATATACTCCATATGGTATCATCGTCAAATTGGATTTCAGTTGAAGTGAAAGGGAGAAAGAGATTTGCTATCGCGAAGATCTCTGTAGCTGCTGTGTTACTGCTCTGTTTGGGATATGCTGTGCTATCGAAAGAGAGTATGAAGAAGCGCAGAGAGAAATTAAAATATATTTTTAATAAATATTTGAAGTTAAATTTGTTGTGATGAAATTTCTCTCTGAATTGTTATTGATGGCTCTGTTTTCTCATATTAACATATGAAAAATTTAAAAGGTATAGCTTTGCAATTTATTTCATCTTTGTTTGGCTGCCAATCAAAGTAGAAACCGTATGGAAATTTAAATCAGTTTCAGAGTACAGAAAATTTAAGTGATTTCTAGAAGCAAACGCGGTGATGGCTATCAAAAATGAGAACTCATTCCTGGTCTTGGGAAGGGGCATAACGGCGTAAATTTGATGAAAAGTATGGGGCTAATGAGCCAACTGCGTTTCTGTCGTACATCAAAACATGGGGCCCGTGGGCGGCTAAAAGGACTGCTGTGATGTTGACATATCGTGTCCCTTCGGGGACATCCAATAAAAAAGAAATGTGGATGTATCGTGATAAATTCAAAACGAAATTACAAGTATTAAACATCATATAATATTTGTGTGACAGAAAAATACTTCATATTAAATAAATATTAAAAGATATCAATTTTTTTGAAATAGATTAATAAATAAAGTGTTAATTTTTTTTTCTTTTTAAAAAATAAAATACATATTTCAAAGCGGGGAGAAGTTGCGAGTTGCTACTGTAGACAATACATTGCGTCAAGAGAATAATCGAGATCGAAAATATTGCAACAATCGTAATATTTGATTTCAAATAATTTGAGTTTACAATCTCTATGAATCCTCTGTTTCTTTTTCCAATATTAAATAAATTCAAGGGCCCTTGAGCTTGGTCTTGAATATGTAGTTGTCACGAACTTTGATTTGAACTCGTACTCCTTGAATCTTGATTTGTTCTTCGTTCTTGAGCTTGAGTTTGATTGCTTGAACTTCAACTTGATTTGTTCTTTGTTCTTGAGCTTGAACTTGATTTGTTCTTCGTTTTTGAGCTTGAACTTGATTGCTTGAACTTGAACTTGATTGTTTGAACTTGAACTTGTGGAGGAATTTGTAGCGTTTGATCCACGAGCTCTTTGTTGCTTCTTGTTATAACTTATGGTGTCTTTTCTGAGTTATGAAGACCTCTATTTATAGTTGTGGGAGGGAAGAGTTATGATAATAACAAAAAATTCTTTCCGACCAATCAAACTGAAGTGTGACAAGGCCGCATTTGATTGGCCACAACATGTCACTTGCACATGTGGCACAATTTCATTGGCTATTTTATTTGACTTGGCATGCCTTGTCATTCTCACACGTGGCACGATCCTATTGGGTCTTTTGTTTGACTTGGCGCCCCATGTCATTTGACGTGTGGCGCCAAACTGGTCCTCTAAGAAGATGATATCTTGGGTTTAATGAAGTGAGCTCATCATTTTANTATATATATAAAACTATAATCCAAGTTATTTATTCAATTTGAACCAATAAATTTTACATGTCTGCAACTACTTTGTCTAAAATTTTCTAAGAACATTGTTTCTTTTTCACATAATCTTTTAAGGCATCGGTATTAATTGTAATTGGCATTCTGGATCTATCATAAAAGGGGTAACGTAATCGGCACCTGATAACGCATTCCCACTATACAAATGCATATCTCGTAATATTTATTAACCATCAATACATACACAAGAACACTCACTAGCCCAAAAAATATTTATACACATATTATTGTACGGGGTAAAAATGGTCAATGACAGTTGGCGGAATAATGAGATGACACGTGGAACAAAAGACGGGTGAAAAGTGAGTCAGCAGATGGCTGGCACCGGGCGCGAGTATGTGATCGGTGTTAGACAGATCCCGAAGGTAGAGTAGCTGACAATAAAGATTCAAAGATTTGATATCGGGTAGCATTTAATGAGCACCCATTACAGAGAAAACGTTCAAGACTAACCGTTATGCAGCCATCCATGGCGATTTTATTCTCATTCAAGGGGAACTTGATTTGAGGATCTTGTCTCCCTAAATAGAGCTATAAGTAGGAGGATTAACAACCATTGTAGGCGGAGGAAAAAACATCCTACACACAAAATCTGTAATCCATTATATTGTTACGCTCAATTTGAACACATGAACATTGCTTTTACTTTTATCATCGGAAAAGCTAAGTTCTTAGTCAGACTTGTTATCTCCTTTAATTTCTTTCGTTAATCTTATTTTCGTTCTTATTTATTTACCATTTTTGGGTCAAATAGATTCACTTGTCTATAAATCAAGCTATAAATTTAATTGTACCGTTTTACGGGTAAACAGTTTAGTGTCCACCGTGGGGCATAAACATCCACGTAATTGCTTTGATCCATTCATTTGTTACTAACAAGTTTTGACTTTTTCCTTAGTAAAAATATGTTATGGCAGCTAATGATGTCAACGACGTTTACAATGTTAGATCACGCGATGAGCACGAAGATGCATTCCACCGTGATGATTCAACCAGCGAAACTCACAACGAAGGGGATGAAGCAACCCTGGTTCGTAAAGGACAATGTCCTTGGCATGTGCGGGGCTCGATCCCAGATGATGCAGAGGATGAGCATATTGTCGAAACTGTCAAAATCTTGAAAGAACAACAAAAGGCGATCATGGATCACCTTTCGAGGCAAGATCGGGTGATGACGGAATTAAAGCAGGCATTATCAGTGCTTCGATTAACGCTAATGAAAGAGCTCTGGTTCCTCCCAGCATTCCTGCAAATCGGATGGCTCAAAGAATCAAGAACAACACGCTAAGGGTTAAAGTCGGTTTCGATGAAGTCGGGGGGACCGGAAGCGGATTTGGGAACAACAACTTGAATGATCCTTTCAAAACTGAGCTCATGAGATTCATGAGAGAGATGAATGAAAGAATGGACTAGAACGCATAAGAGTTTCATGCTCTGATGGATCAGATCTGAGGTGCACCACCAGTGTTAAAAGGACCAGATTCGAGGAAGTATACGCAGTTACCGTTTAAACCGAGTGCGGCACCGGAGTTGATACCGAAGAGGTTTAAGATGTTGGATATTCCAAAATATGATGGGACGTCTACTGCACAGGATCACATCATGACCTACACCACGACAGTAAAAGGAAATAACTTGGCTCAGCACGAGATCAAGTTGATTTTGTTGAAGAAGTTTGGCTAAACCCTCACGAAAGGGGCCCTGGCATGGTATTCCATCTTACCTAAGAAACAACTTGAGTGATCTTGTCAAAACTGAGCTCATGAGATTCATGAGAGAGATGAATGAAAGAATGGACCAGAACGCAAAAGAGTTTCATGCTCGGATGGATCAGATCCCATGTGCGCCGCCGGTGTTAAAAGGACTATATTCGAGAAAGTATACGCAGTTGCCGTTTAAACTGAGCACGACACCGGAGTTGATACCGAAGAGGTTTAAGATGCCGGATATTCCAAAATATGATGGGATGTCGGATCCACAAGAGCACATCACGGCCTACACTACGACAGTAAAAGGAAACAATTTGGCTCGGCACGAGATCAAGTCGGTTTTGCTGAAGAAGTTTGGCGAAACCCTCACAAAGGGGCCCCTGACATGGTATTCCCTCTTACCTGAGCATTCAATAGATTCTTTTGAAATACTTGCAGATTCGTTCATCAAAGCTCATGCTGGAGGAAGAAAGGTCCAGGCCAAAAGGCGGATATATTCAGAATTTTGCAAGGAGAATCTGTGCTGTTGCGGGAATTTGTAATCTGGTTCCAGAAGGAAAGGATGTTGCTACCAGCAGTTCCAGATGAGTGGGCAGCAGAGGCATTCACTAAGGGCCTTAATCCTCTGAGTTTTGATACCTCCCGAAAATTGAAGGAGAGCTTGCTCGTGTTTCAGCCAACCACATGGGCAGATGTCCATAATCTCTACGAGTTGAAGATAAGGATAGGAGACGATCAACTTGGCTTTTCGGTGTCTTCCAAGGGATGGGGTCGCGATAAAAATCAAGATAAGTTTAAAAATGACTTTGATGCAGATCAGAGGTCCTCTAGGGGTCGTTATCTACCGTAAGAGAGGACCGATGAGCATAGCAGTAAAGGATTCCAGTTATCGAATATGTTCGCCTCCGAAAGAAGGACGAATCGTGGCCGAAATAATAGATCATTACAAGAGAAAGAGGTGTCAGGGTCCTGAGATCCCGCATATTCCAGGTTATCAGATTACAACTTTAATATGAGCTTGGTAGAATTGGTGTCAGCAATGAGGAACATCAACGAAGCACGGTTTCTGAAACCTATCCGATCGGATCCTAGCCAACGGGATCCTAATCTGTGGTGTAAATTCCATGGGACTCATGGCTATAGAATTGGGGACTGCCGACATCTTCGCGGGGAGGTGGCAACGTTGTTGAAGAATGGCCATCTTAGAGAGTTTTTAAGTGACCGCACCAAAAATAATTATGGTATAAGCCGGGATAATGCAAAACCATCAAAGATATCAGCAAGGTCACCTCAGATGACAATAAACATGATATTCAGAGGAAATGAGGTCAATGGGGTAAAAGTTTTGGCAGCAAAAAAGACGAAAATATCGGTGACTCATGGTAAGAGAATCCGAGAAGCCGCTGAAGATGACATTATCTTCGCAGAGGAAGATGCTGATGGGCTTCTTCTTCCGCACAAAGATGCTTTGGTAATTTCTCTTAATGTTTTAGATTTCAAAATTAAGCGTGTTTTGGTTGATCTAGAAAGTTCAGCCAACATTATACAACGGAGGGTTCTAGAACAAGCAAAGTTGACCGGGAACATCATTCGGGCGACAAAACTCCTAGCTGGCTTCAACCTAACAAGCATCACAACCCAAGGAGGAATTTTGCTGCCTACTCATGCTGAGGGATTGGCGAAAACCACTTTGTTCGATGTGATGGCCTAAATAACATAATAAATATAATTATTATAATAATTTAGGCTATTAATACAAAACAATACATAAATGTTATAAAGTTCAAATATAATTGTATGAAACGATGTAAAATTCTTTAAAATATGCATGAAAATATAAATAATTAGTTTGGACAATTAATCACTCATAAATAATTTAAAGGGAATAACAAATAAATATTTATCAATTAAAATACCATAATCGATTCAAAATGCTTATAATATGAATACAGTTATAATAATTTGATAAAAGCATTATGAGGATAATAGATTGATATTTAAAATATATCATGGAACAGTAGTGCAAGAAAATTGTCTATAAATATTATTTAAAATATATAAAACATTATAAAATATACTGGTGACGAGCTCGAAACACACTTCAATTATGCTCGCTAATCAAATATAGTATAGTATATTATCGTATCCATAGGGATTTGATTTAAACAGTATTGTCATAGTTTCTAGCTTGATTGCTATCCAAGATGATCAACAATTGAAATTTATATGATTTCTAACTACAATTAACTAAGAGTCTAAAGCTATTGACTAATAACAACCGAAACAAGGAATAAGCAAAGAAAGTTATCATTGGGAGAATATAGGGTTTTGATAGAATAGGTGCAAGATAATTGTTTGGGATATAACTCTAGATAATCCACTTCTAATGTTCAAGTGAGTCTCTCGAATTCACTCAATTATTAGTTCAAACGTTCAGCAAAAACTCCTCTCTCGATTAAGTTTTAACCTCACAAGATGAACCAATATAAACACATGAAGATATGCAAGAATGTGTAGTGTATTGGTCATTAGGAGAACCTCTCTCGATTATTCTCCTAACTAGGTTTAATCAATGATTCAACTAGCCTCTTTCGATTACTAAGAAGAATTAATGAACTCAACCAACAATATAATGCAAAGATATCACCAGTTAGACCTCTCTTTATTACATGAACTAGTGAATACAGATGCAACAATTATATCATCCAAAAATGCTTCAATACATAAAACTAGAGTTATAATCCACAAGCAATCATCAATACACCAAATCCATCAAACCCTAAAGAGAAGTTCTCCATAGATATGGAGCAATTCATCACAAATATAATTAAAGTATAGGAAAACATAAATTCGATCCAAACTCGGGTCTTGAGTGAGTAAGGAATGATGAAATCCTTGTGCTTTTGCTCCTCCAACTCCTCCTTAGCTTCCTTAGGTCTAAAGTGTGTCAAAAGTCAAGAAAATAATATTTTTCATGTATTTATACCAAGTTGGGTCGGGCCTAGACGAAATCCCCATTTCCTAGCCGAAATAGGAAAACTTGCAAAGTTATTGCTTTTCATGCGTTGCACTATGCTACGCAGGGTGCGTAGAATTAGTGTAATTTTCTCGGTCGTAAACTCTCTGAACTTAGATTGTCTGACAGAATTTTGTACTGATGCTACGCACTATGCCACACACTATGACTAGCATTAGTGTATTTTTTTGTCAGACCTTAGAAACCCATCCTCTGAACGTTGTCAATCTTCTGACATAAATTTACCCTACTGTGTCGCACTAGTGCATTCTTTCAACTGTTGTTTCTTCCTTGATTTTTGACGTCCAGAAGTGATCCTCGACCCCCGAACACGATTCCGGCTTAATCCTTTGGGCTTTTACTCAGACTTCAAAGCTTCAAATAACTCAAATTAATTCCACAATATCTACATAACTCGAAATTATTCCTACATGGCATAAAAAAGCAATAAATGCAAAATACTACCAATTAAAGCTCAACACTAGGGGTGTTCATGGTTCGGTTTGGGTCGATTTTTCCTAAAAAGAAACCAAACCAAGTAAGTCGGGTTTTCAAATATTAGAACCAAACCAATCCAATTGAGTCAGTTTTTTATCGATTCGATATTTTGTTAGGTTTTCTGTTATTTATCAATTGTTTTCTTAAATATGAGACATACACTACCAAACGCATATTTCGGCGACTACATTTTAAATGTAACACTATCAAATCAATTGCTCTATAAGAAATCTATCATTTTCAAGATATATTGATGATAATTGAATCAAATGGTGATAAATAATTTAAGTACTCAATTAAAAATCAATTATTTTTAACATGAAATAAATTCTTGTACTTAGTAAAAGAAAACTAACAATCAAACTAGAATGTAAAGGCAAAAAAAATAAAATTATTACAATAGCAAAGAACTAGACTAAAAATACCCATGGCTAATATGTACCATAAAATTATAGAAACTTTATATAAAAATAAACATATATATAGGTGTAATAATAAATTTAAATAGCTACCTTTATAGTCGGCTTGGTTCGTTTTTTCCGGTTATTTTTTGATTAAAACCAAAACCAAACCAAATTTGATCGATTTTTAAAATTTAAAACCAAAACCAAACCAAACCTAAAAAGTATCGGTTTTTTGATCGGTTTGCTTCAGTTTTTGGTTTGGTTCGGTTTTTCGTATTTTTATGAACACCCCTACTTAACACAAGTAAAGTGCAGTGAATTAGAGTGCAATAAGCGACTAAAATACGAGATTATAGCCTATCATCAACACCCCACACTTAACCATTGCTCGTCCTCGAGCAATCAAACTACACTTTATATAGACATGACCTTTTTAAACAACTCTCATATCTCATCACACCAAGAATATTTAAAACATATTAAGCACAATACCGTAACATCCTACCCTCAAGATTTGACTCAAAATTACCATAACTTATTTATAACCCGCTCACTTACTCTAACACAAAGGTCAATCATTACTTTTCCTTCGTGAATCAAGTGCCCTCACATAACAATCGAGAGTAGTTCCACACAATAGAATTTAAGAACAATTAGGAGTTCAAGATAGAAAGAATTCACTCACTCTCAGAAATAACATTCATATGCCACAAAAGACGTACCATAGATTTGCCAGTTTTGTACTACTCTACTAATTGAGCTCATTCAATCAATGATCAAATAAGACTTTAACTGGTTGTACTGTAGGATGCGGGATGGGTAGGAACAAATAAATATACATTAACTTCCAACTTCTTTAAGCACAAATACATCAAGAGTCACCACTATCAACGAATAGTTTGCACAACAATACAAACTTTTTTTTCTTTTCTCTAGTGGATCTTACTTTTTCAATACAGTGCACTTTTCTCCTTATTTCATTAGTTCCACTCAAAAAAAAAAATCAACCACCACACACTTCAACTTTTACATAGTTCATACCAAATTCAATTGCTCACGAGAGGTACAAGGTTCAAATAGATGGTCAATTCGAACAAATGAGTAAGGCTTGTAATGTGATTGCTAAAGAAACAAGATTACAGGCTCAAAGGGGTTAACTACGATACATAGCAATTAGGTAGGTAAAAACATCAAATTGGCTCAACAAAGAAATGCCTATATCACTTCCAAGACTGAACAAAACTACTATTTCGCTTTGTAAACATACGGGGCAAGTTCTAGACATCAAATACAATGCACAGAATAACACAAAACCTCACACACACATGGAACATAACTCACTCAGGATTGGACTATCAAGACACTCTAGTCAAAGCAGTTAAGCAAAGTTAAGATCATACAATTTACGGTATTTATTACAAAAGTCAAAAACTGAGCCTTATCGTCACAACTAAAGCACTCATTGTTCTCAAGGCATAATAAAGTCAAGAGACATTGCTTTCAATTCAAATCATAGCACAAGGTTTCCTACTCCTAAAAAAAATAAAAACTAACTATACCCGGTTCAAATAAAATCCTTGAAAAAGAACCGCGACACAAAGAAAAACCAAGGGGCACTTGTTAAACTACCTAAGAAAAGAATTTTTTTTTGTCTTTTTCTTTCGACTTTCATCCCTCAAGAAAACTGTTGATATCCATCGTCAGGAAAAATCAAAAATTTTAAAATTTTAATGATTTTTTTCAATTTTTTCTATCTCCAACTAACACATATACAAACAACATAAAATTATCTCCCACCCCACACTTTAAGTTATGGCATGTCTCCTTGACACACAATTAAAAAGTATCAGGTAAAGGAAACTTTCCTGAACTTCTAGTCGGGATCTGAGTCGAAGTCGGGCTCCATTCCTCGCCTTCGGACTAATGCGCACATCCATGCCGACAACTTCTTCTCAGCCTTTTTTGGGTACACGCCAAGCTTATCTTTCTTACTCAGTGCAACCTTCTTTTTTAAGCCCATCACTTTTCACTCAATACTCGCAGCTGATTTTTCTTTTTGTGCCCCCTTTGCTATATTCATATCAAAAGTCACCGTTTTCTCACCCACTCTAAGCATGAGTTTCCTCTCGTGTATATCTAATATAGCTCTACCTGTTGGTAAGAATGGTCTTCCTAGGATGAGTGGATCTTCTTGTTCCCCTCCATATTCACCACTATAAAGTCTACAGGAAATACAAACTTATCCAACCGAACTAACATATCTTCCACTATTCCATCGGGTATTAAAGTCATTTGGTTCGCCAGCTGCAAAGATATTTGCATCGACCTTATCTGTCCAATCTCCTTCTCTAGTTTTCTGTAAATATATAATGGCATTAAATTAATTCAGGCACCAGAATCACATAATGATTTATCAAAATGAATAGTTCCTAAAAACTCCCTGGATCTCCACACTTTTGTGGGAGTTTATTTTGTAAGATCGCACTGCAATACTCTGAGCTTGACTACTGAGGTCTCCTCAATTTTCCTTTTCTTTGTAAGGACCTCCTTCAACAATTTGGCATAAGCAGACATTTGTGAGAGCACTTCTGTGAATGGTAAGTTCACATGAACCTATTTCACCACATCCAGAAATTTCTCAAACTGCTTGTCCAGCTTTTCTCTACATAACGTTTGAGGGAAAGGTAAAGCAGGCATATGTTTGCTCTCCTCATGTTCCTCCTTTTTTGCTTTTTCTTCCTTCTCTTTCCTCTCAATTTTCATCGGGCCTTTCTTCTTTTTATCAACATCATT